TTTGCATTCATGGCTCCGCCCACTTTTGCCACTAGCACATGGCTCCCAGAAGGCAATGCAGCTTTTACACTAAGGAAAGTTCCTCACCCCTGGCTTCGGTAAAAAAGGTAAAAGGTAAAGGACCCCTGCATGGTTACGTCCAGTCAAAGGCAACTATGGGGTTGCGGTGCTTATCTCGCTTTCAGGCTGAGTGTGATGGCCTGGGATTCGGACTCGGATGCTGAACCTGAGGGATCCCAGCCTGCACAGGATTCCCCGCCTCCAGAACCAGCTGAGCCAGGGCTGGGGCATGAGCTGAAGGGTCCTCACCTGTGCTGGATCCTCAGGTGCAGGCACCAGCTGAGTCTGCTCTGGCTCCTGAGGGGATGAAGGACCCATTGCCTGCAGGTGCTCCACTCTCAGCCCCGTCAGGGGAAGCTGAGGTTGCCTCTGGGTCTGGTAACCCTCCAGCCTCTCCTGAGCTGCAGAGGCTCAGGGCAGAGAGGCGGAGGGAACTAAGTTCCCACAGGAGGAGTGCTCGCCTCCAGGCCAGGAGATGCGAGACACCAGAGGATCGTGGCTGCCCTATGCCTCGGGGCAGATAAAAGCCGGCCAGCCCCAGTCCCAAGTTGCGGGAGCAACATTGTTGGTAGCCTGTTCCTGCCTGAACCCTGTCCTGCTTACCTGCCTGAGCTCCTGACCCGCCCTGCTTGCAAGCCTGTTCCTGACTTCACCCGACTCCCTGCCCTGCACCCAGCTTCAGCTACTAAGGCCTGCTTCCACGTTGCACCTTCGACACGGACCAGACTTGGATCTCGTCTCTCGGGTAACCCATGGGACCAGCACACCGAGGGAGCCGGCATTTGTCCATAGACAGCTTTCCGGGTCATGTGGCCAGCAGGATTAAACCACTACTGGCACATGGACTGTGACGAGTGCCAGAGTGCACGGAAATGACGTTTACCTTCCCACCGCAGAGGTACCTATTTATCTACTTCCACCGGTGTACTTTCAAACTGCTAGGTTGGCAGGAGTTGGAACAGAACAATTGGAGCTCATCCCATCACAGGGATTTGAACCGCCGACCTTCTGATCGGCAAAACCAAGAGGCTCAGTGGTTTACACCACAGTGCCACCCGCCTCGCTTGCTTAACCCTTTCCGCACTCGCTGCTCCTCCCAGGCAGTCACTTCCCATGGATCCTTTTCTCTGAGATGAAGCAATACTTGGGAATCCAGGGACAGGGAAAGGAGGCTGCGGGTAGCAGCATCCTCCAGCAGTTGATATGGTGGTAGACTACCCCTGAGCCTGGAGGTTCCATTGGACCATGACTAATAGGCATTGATAGACTTCTGTTGCACAACCCACAGCCCAGATGCAGCTAAGAGAATCCAATTCATAGCAGCACTGCCTGAAGTCCGTTCTTGAGTACATAAATCCATTAATAACTCCAGTTAATCCACTAATGTTCTCAGAGGAGGGGGAAGCGGGAAGGAGGGGGGAAGAGAAGCTTGTCCTGGCGACATCGCCTTTCCGACACCTCTGGTTTGCTGATCCCTGCTCCAACTTGAAAGGGAAAGTGTCTTTTCTTCTTCCTCTGCCAGTACAGAACGAGCGAGTGTGAATGGATGAAATGGGGACACATTATTGCTGGGGAGGCCGGTGGGCAGGCAGAAGGATGCACACCTTCTGAGAAAGCACTTTCGGCCCAACGGATCGGTTTTAAAAGGCGGCAGCGGTGGGATCTTCTGAACGTGGAAGCTCAAACAGCATATAATATTATAGATGCCCCCAGGGCCTTATAAAGCTATTTGGAAGAGGTCCATATGAACATTACACTTCTTTATGTGTGGGAAGTGTGAACCATATTTTATATATTTTCACACACCCACACACAGGGAGATTCCATAACGCCTTTGGCTCCTGCATGAAAAGTCTCTGCTCCCTTATAAGACCATAGGAAACTGCCTTAAATGGAGCGAGACTTTTGGTCCATTGGGCTCAGGCTTGCCTACACTGACTGGCAGAGGGTTTCCTCCGGGGTTTCAGACTGGGGACATTCCAAGCCTGGAGGTGCCAGTGGAGATTGATACGGGGACCTTCTGCATACAGCGCAGATACTCTCGCACTGAGCTACAGCCCTCAGGACTAGAGTCAGGCATAGGTCATCACCTGGTACACAGGCTGGGGCCCTACCTGTCCACAGACTGTCTCACCAGAGTGGTGCATGCTCTAGTTATCTCCTGCCTGGACTACTGCAATGCGCTCTACGTGAGGCTACCTTTGAAGGTGACCTGGAAACTACAACTAGTCCAGAATGCAGCAGCTAGACTGGTGACTGGGAGTGGCCACCGAGACCACATAACACCGGTCCTGAAACACCAACATTGACTCCCAGTACGTTTCCAAGCACAATTCAAAGTGTTGGTGCTGACCTTGAAAGACTAAACGGCCTTGGTCCAGTATACCTGAAGGAGCATCTCCATCCCCATCGTTCAGCCTGGACACTGAGGTCCATCTCCAAGGGGCTTCTGGCAGTTCCCTCCCTGCAAGAAGTGAGGTTACAGGGAACCAGACAGAGGGCCTTCTTGGTGGTGGTGCCCTCCCTCCCATCAGATGTCAAGGAAATAAACAACTACCAGACTTTTAGAAGACATCTGAAGGCAGACCTGTTTAGGGAAGTTTCCAACGTTTGATGGTTTATCGTGTTTTTAATATTCTGTTGGGAGCCTCCCAGAGTGGAGAATTATCATCATCATCAACAGAACAGTAACTCCCCAAAAATTAAAGGAATATGTCGAGCAAAGATTTTCAGAGCAAAGAGCAGCCACTGTTTAACTGAGCACAGAAATATTGCCTAGCTGACTGAAGGCAGCAATTCAAGACGGCAAGAACGAGGAGGGAAGGAAGGGAGGAAAGCAGACGATTATTAAAAATGTGGTTGTGTCCAACTGGACAATTCTGTAAGGCAGAAATTCAATGCTTTGAGTGGGAATTCAACCAGGATACGGCTTTAAAAACAAATAAACGTGTGCCGAGGGATCTTGGATAACCTCCCTGTACAAATCCAAAGCACTTTGGATGTCAACGGTGTTGGGTCATCTCCAGGCCAGTTGGAGGGCTGACTTTTGGGTTCTCCAATCCCCAAACACAAGCCCTTTTGTTTTGCCACGGACACGGGTCATTTGTCTGGCAATGGATCTTCCAGATGGAAAAGAGGATACCAAGACAAGACTGTACAGCTGAGGAATGAGGGCAGTAACATGGAGATGGTGGAAACTGCCTTAAAGTAAAGGTAAAGGGACCCCTGACCATTAGGTCCAGTCGTGGCCGACTCTGGGGTTGCGGCGCTCATCTCGCTCTGTTGGCCAAGGGAGCCAGCTTACAGCTTCCGGGTCATGTGGCCAGCATGACAAAGCCGCTTCTGGCAAACCAGAGCAATGCACGGAAACGCCGTTTACCTTCCCGCTGGAGCGGTACCTATTTATCTACTTGCACTTTGACGTGCTTTCGAACTGCTAGGTTGGCAGGACTGAGCAACGGGAGCTCACCCCGTTGCGGGGATTTGAACTGCCGACCTTCTGATCGGCAAGTCCTAGGCTCTGTGGTTTAACCCTCAGTGCCACCCGTGTCCCTTGAAAACTGCCTTAGATAGAGTCAGATCCTTGGCTTGTCTAGCTTAGCGTAAGTCTATCTATCTACCGTTCCCAGGATTCTTTGGGGGAAGCCATGACTGTAAAAGTGGTATAGCAGTGCTTTAAATTGTAAGGTGTCGCCTCGGTATCGGCAACACCTTACAATTTAATTCAGCATGGAAAAATAGGAAACCACCTTACACAATGTCATACTATTTATTCAACTAGCCAAGCATGGTCTACTCTGACTGGCAGTGGCTCCTAGGATCTCAGGTATCATGGCCTTGAGCTCAGAGGAGGAGGAAACAGAGTCAGTGTTACCTGTTCCACACCTGACCAATAGCTCAGGCAGCATAGCAAGTGGGAGACCACAGTAAGTCGAAGAAGTGACTGCATGTAGGCCAGAAGGTTGGTTCTTAAGAGCCCTAATATTTCGGGTAATAGGGTGGAGCTTAGGAAGAAGAGTCTCATAAGGGCCTCAGCTGACCTCCAGCCTTGGTTGGAGCAACGTGGCTCACTGGGAACTATCCATGGTGCTGAAACCACTGGGCAGCAGGTGCTGAAACCTGTGGGTACCTGGTGCACAACTTTGGACTGACCCAGCCAGGATTCTGCTTGCTTTCTTCTGGACATACATACAGACCAGACACTCAACGCCCACACGTTTGGACAGGCAGGTGTCCACGCTCACTCACATCTGTTCAGATCCCCTACACTTCTGCCAATCAGCAGAGAAGTGAGAGGGGATTCTCCCCACCACAGTGCTACAATTGAATGCTGAAAGCAGGAGAAGGGAAGACCTCTTTATACTTTTAAAAGCCATTGCATGAAAGTCTTGGTAAATAGAAAGGAGCGCTCCTTCCCTGAGCTCCAAGACTTTCTTCCAAAGGCACAACGGAAGAAAGTGTCCTTTCTACAGGGAAGAAGAGGTTCCTTGCTTGGGGGACTATAGCTGTTTTGGACACCCAAGCATACCCCAAACCACTAACAAGAACTCCATGGATGAAGAACAAGCAGAAAATATGTTATTATTGTTATTTTAAGAAAACTAAAACTTTTTTTAAAAGAAACACTTGGGGGCTGGATGCCACCTGCAGACTGCAGATTCTAAGGATGTGCTCCTCTCCTGGGCCTATTAGGAATACATTTCTGAATGAGTCAGACCCCATTGAGTCCCTGCTCCGAAGTCCAATGGATTTGCAAAACACGGGCCCTTGAATCAACCACTGGCCTGCAGGGTTTTCTGGACACTGGTGCCAAGTCTTGTTTCCTGAGTATTTACTGCAGAAAGAATATTTTTAACGACTTTGGTTTAGTGGTGCTGATTTGGAGGGAACTACTAAGTGAGAGGAGGATGAAGAACAGGTTCCACCCGGAGAGCATTTACCTGTCCTGAGTCCCGTGCGATCCCACTTTCTCGTTCTTCATGCAGAAATCAGGCGAGCTTTGCAAATAAACCAACTCCGTCTCCTTTACCGGGCGGATGTCAAGATCCTTGGGGACTAGATGCTTGCGGGTGCCCATAGGCCGATGCACCACCTTTGTAGCTGAAAGGTATTTGTTTTTTAAATCCAGGGCAATGTCTCTCAGTTCCTGAAGCCCCCTCCAGCAGGTCTTGATCGAACAGGACCCAGATACTCCGTGGCATTTGCATTTCATCTCCAGAGAAGCTTTCAGGGCCTGTAGAAAAAGAAGCACAGGGATTTTGAAGTGACTTTTCCCTTTTGCTCAAATGCTCACCATCACCCCCCAACTGTTGCCGCCCCTCCCAGGGAAAGGCTGAAAGGAATAAATGTCCTCACTGTGTTACAATCAAGGCTGTGCGTCTTGGGCACGTGAATGAAACTCATTTGTATATACCGTATTTTTCGCTCCATAGGGCACACCGGACCATAGGGCACACCTAGTTTTGGGAGGCGGAAAACAAGAAAAAATTATTCTGAACCCCAGAAGCCAGAACAGCAAGAGGGATCTGGCTTCTGGGATACCGTGTGGCTGTTCTGGCTTCTGGGATAACCGCACCAAGCCTCTTCAGGGCAGCGGGATGAAGGCTCCCTCTGCCCGAAGAGGCTGCGCAGGGCTAAGGCAGAAGCCAGGACAGGCATGTTGCTGAAGGGGCGCTGCCCTTTCAGCGAAGCTGGAGAAGGAACAGAAGGAGACCCTTCTGTTTCTCCTCGGGCTTCGCTGGACAGGCGCGTCACTGCGAAGCGGGAGGAGGAACAGAAGGAGTCCCTTCTGTTCCTCCTCCGGCTTCCAGGACAGGCGCATCGCTCAAGGGGCACTGCACAGTTCTCTTTCTCTGCGCAGCACCTCTCCTTCCTCCTCCGGCTTCCAGGTCAGGTGCGTCGCAGCAAATCCAAGGAGCCTGCATTCGCTCCATAGGACACACACACATTTCCCCTTCATTTTTGGAGGGGGAAAAGTGCATCCTATAGAGCAAAAAATACGGTAATTTTCATAGGTCTGGGGAAGCATTTCGATTCTGCCCCGTTTATCTCTCTTTGCCCCTTGACTCCACCTCCCTGACCTGCTCCGCCCTCCGCCGTCTTGCCCCACTGACACAATTAAGATTGTAAGCTCACAGGGGCTAGGACCCACCAAGGACTAGCACTGGCTTACGCTACTCTGTTACACCATGAAACAATTCACCCTGCTTTTGCTCCTCGTGAGAAGGAGTACACAGAAATGCATCTCTGAGTCGTGGTGGAGGATGTGGCTCAAACAAAGCCCTTTACAACTGGAGCTACTTCTTTCTTTTTTAAATAATAATAATAATATACAGAAATGGAATTCAGAGGCATGAAAAGTCACTCCATCTGAAATCTACCACCAGAGGTTGCTTCATATCATGCCACAGTGAGGATAGCCTTAGTAAGGAGTTGACATGCCCACTCAGGTAAAATGTAAAGGTAAACCTTGGATGTTTAAATCCAGTCAAAGGCAACTATGGGGTTGCGGCGCTCATCTCTGTTTCTCCACAGACAGCTTTCCAGGTCATGTGGCCAGCATGACTAAACCGCTTCTGGTGCAATGGAACACCGTGATGGAAACCAGAGCGCACGGAAATGCCATTTCCCTTCCCACCGCAGTGGTACCTATTTATCTACTTGCACTGGTATGCTTTCGAACTGCTGGGTTGGCAGAAGCTGGGACAGAGCACCACTGAGATTCGAACCGCCAACCTTCTGATCGGCAAGCCCAAGAGGCTCAGTGGTTTAGACCACGTCCCACTCAACCAATGGGCAAAATCCCTGGAAAGTTTGGTTGCAGTTTTGAATGGGCTTCTGCACTTTTAGAATTCATTTGCAGATATCTTCTACTTTTAGATTCACTGCTCCACCTGTTTTTGTCCATGCAGCCGCCTCTGAAAGTGAGCAGCCAACCACACCAGCTGGTTGCAGAAGGATAGTCAGCTTAGCAAGCAAGTGCTACGCAGCCTCCGTTTGTAAGATGAAAGCTTAAACATCTCCATTCAGGAGTAAAAGACGTATTGATTTGGGTTAGGGTAGGCACACTCAGCCAGGTATTTTTGCTTGCTGAGCAAGGGTAGTGGGAGCCAGACCAAAACAGAACGCTTAGTGGAAACTGGAAAAAAGATGAATGACAAGCCATAACCTGCATATGCAAGGCAATAACTGAAACATTAAAAGGGACGTGGGTGGCGCTGTGGGTTAAACCACAGAGCCTAGGACTTGCCGATCAGAAGGTCGGCAGTTCGAATCCCCGCGATAAATAGGTACCGCTCTGGCGGGAAGGTAAACAGAGTTTCTGTGCGCTGCTCTGGTTCGCCAGAAGCGGCTTAGTCCTGTTGATCACATGACCCGGAAGCTGTACGCCGGCTCCCTTGGCCAATAAAGCGAGATGAGTGCCACAACCCCAGAGTCGGCCACGACTGGACCTAATGGTTAGGGGTCCCTTTACCTTTACCTTTAACTGAAACATTAATGGGCACAGAGCAGAGAATGGATGGACTCTCCCAGAAACACCAAAGGGTTGGGCCTCAATGAGACCATCAAACTGACTAGCACTGGCTCTCCAGGGTCTCAAACAGGGACTCTGAAGATGGCAAGGATTGAACCTGGTGCCTGTGCTCAACCACAGGCGTGCAGGGTAAGGATTTGGGGAGAGGGCCTTCTTGGTGGAAGCCAGAGAACAGGCCAATATCTCCCTCCAAGAACTCTGCCACGAGTGACCGCAGGAGAAAACATACTGGTGCAATAGGTCTCCTGCCCAGTTTCCCTCAATGGTGCCCACAGCCTGCCAACTGAGGAGTCCACCTCCATTTGCTTCTAGCAGGGTGATGGCCCAGCCAAAAGCTCTCCCTTTGTACACAGGTTCAGCCCAATTGCTGGTTGAATCGGTACCGGCTTCCAACCCTTTTGTCAACCCCGGACGGCGATTGCATAATGAGAACATCTCTTTTCGGAATTGGTTACCTGTCTCCCTACTTCACTGTTGTGCAGATGCATCAGCTTATTGGCTTGTGATCCTGATTTTTTCATCTTCATGGGAGCATCTGAAAATTTGGACCCCATGACAAGACCATAGTTGAGGTTGTCAGCACATCCTCCCCAGCGATACCCAGGTCCAGGTGTCTCACCTGGGATGGGACCACAGGAGCAGCCAGGGAGGTCCCCGGTGGTGCAGGCTCTGGCGATGGTGTGGCTGATGGCTGCGGCGGAGAGGGCGTACACAAAGGCCGACTCCCTCGTGCCTGCGGAGACAGAAAGTTCGATAGGAAGACATTTCCACTGGATTTTCAATCGGGTAGAAAACAAACGGGAGAGGGAAACATGGCTCAATGAATAGGAAATCTCGGAAGCTCTCGTGATAATCAGGCTGTCAACCTCTAAAGGTCATCGCTTCTCATCAAGTACTAAAAGGTAAAGGGACCCCTGGCCATTAGGTCCAGTCGTGGCCGACTCTGGGGTTGCGGCACTCATCTCGCTTTAGTGGCCGAGGGAGCCGGTGTACAGCTTCCGGGTCATGTGGCCAGCATGACTCAGCTGCTTCTGGCGAACCAGAGCAGCGCACGGAAACGCCGTTTACCTTCCCGCCGGAGTGGTACCTATTTATCTACTTGCACTTTGAGGTGCTTTCGAATTGCTAGGTTGGCAGGAGCAGGGACTGAGCAATGGGAGCTCACCCCGTCGTGGGGATTCGAACTGCAGACCTTCTGATCGGCAAGTCCTAGGCTCTGTGGTTTAACCCACAGCGCCACCCGCGTCCCTTGCCGTGGGCCTGTTACGTACCCACTAAACCAGCCAGCTGTCCTCAGGTGCCCTTGGGGACTCTATTCTGTTGCCAGTGTGGAAGTAAGATTCAACTGTCAGTCCAGTCCGTTCCCATACATGGGGGGGAAGGCATCAACTTGCCTGCTTATATAATGCTTTATAATGAGTTAGGCCATTGCTCTCCAAAGTTTGAGGCAGGGGACATGCCAAACCCTACCTGTAGATGCCGAGGATTAAATCAGACACCTTCTGCATACAAAGCAGATGGGGTACCCATAGAGATACATCCAGTCTGTGTTCAACAAATGCCTTGGGATGGCCCTACATATCAGATATATGAATAATAATAATAATAATAACACAGTAATAATAATAATAATATATTTTTTTACATCCCGCCCTCCCCAGCCAAAACCAGGCTCAGAGCGGCTAACAACAGTAAAAGTAACACAGTTTACATAAAATCACAATCAATTCATCGAAATACCTTCTAAAATCAATTCATTCTAAAATCAATTCAGAATCAAATTAATGGCAACCAATGGGCTAGAGCTCTATGAGGATTACCAAAGGAGGGGGTCAGGCTATGCCTTGGCCAAAGGCCTGGTAGAACAGCTCTGTCTTACAGGCCCTGCGGAAAGATGTCAAGTCCCTCAGGGCCCTAGTCTCTTGTGACAGAGTGTTCCACCAGATCGGGGCCACGGCCGAAAAGGCCCTGACTCTAGTTGAGGCCAGCTTAACCTCCCTGTGGCCCAGGATCTCCAGGGTGTTGTTATTTTCAGACCGTAAGGTCCTCCGTGGGACATACCAGGAGAGGCGGTCCCATAGCTACAAGGGTCCTAGGCCGTATAGGGCTTTAAAGGTTAAAACCAGCACCTTAAACCTGATCCTGTACTCCACTGGGAGCCAGTGCAGCTGGTATAGGACAGGGTGAATGTGATCCCGTGGCGAGGACCCCATAAGGAGTCTCGCCACGGCATTCTGCACCCGCTGGAGTTTCTGGGTCAGCCTCAAGGGCAGCCCCACGTAGAGTGAGTTACAATAATCAAGTCTGGAGGTGACCGTCATGTGGACCACAATGGCTAGGTCAGGGCGAGAGAGGTAAGACTCTCAGAACATAGGATGCTGCCTTATAATGAGACGGACCACTGACTCAGTGCTGCCTGCACTGATCGTTCCCAGCCCCACCTGTAAGCTCCAGGGATTAAAGAAGGGAGGTTTTGCATGCAAACCAGGTTCTCTGCCGCTGAGCTACAGCCAGTCTGCAGAACTGAGGCACTAAATGTGTGTTATGCAAATAGCACCCTTTTAAAGGTACAGTGGTGCCTCGCAAGACGAAATTAATCCGTTCCGCGATTCTCTTCGTCTTGCGGTTTTTTCGTCTTGCGAAGCACGGCTATTAGCGGCTTAGCGGCTTAGTGGCTATTAATGGCTTGGCGGCTTTAAGAAAAAGGAAACAAACTCGCAAGAACTTGCAAGAGGTTTCGTCTTGCGAAGCAAGCCCATAGGGAAATTCGTCTTGCGGAACGGCTCAAAAAACGGAAAACCCTTTCGTCTAGCGAGTTTTTCGTCTTGCGAGGCATTCGTCTTGCGGGGCACCACTGTAAAGGTAAAGGGACCCCTGACCATTAGGTCCAGTCACGGCCGACTCTGGGGTTGCGGCGCTCATCTCGCTTTATTGGCCAAGGGAGCCGGCATACAGCTTCCAGGTCATGTGGCCAGCATGACTAAGCTGCTTCTGGTGAACCAGAGCAGCGCATGGAAACGCCGTTTACCTTCCCGCTGGAGCGGTACTTATTTATCTACTTGCAATTTGACGTGCTTTCGAACTGCTAGGTTGGCAGGAGCAGGGACCGAGCCACGGGAGCTCACCCCGTCGCAGGGATTTGAACCTCCAACCTTCTGATCGGCAAATCCTAGGCTCTCACAGCACCACCTTACCTCTCTCCAAATCCAGGAGGTAGTTGGGCGCCAGCTCAATGGAGGAGCAATTCCACCGCATGTCGGAGAACGTCTTGCGGCACGTCTTGATCACCTCCCGCGCGGCCTGGATGATGGTTTGCATCAGCTCCAGGTTGCTCCGACACAGCTGGACTTGCGAAACCACCAGCCCTTCCAGCTGCTTGCAGTGCTGCGTCTGGTTCAGGGCTAGAACCGAGGGAGTCTTGAACAAGGCTCTGGGAAGGCGAAGAAAGAAACACACCCGGCCGGCACAATTAGCAATTTTGGCAATCCTCAAAGGTCCCAGAGAAGGAGACTTGGCGCTCCTAGAACCCTGACAGGCGTCCCCATTCGATCCGGCTTTAATGAATTTCATCACCAAATGCACAGCATCGCGGTTGATGGAAACCAGCTCCCAGCTTGCAGCACACTTCCCCGTTCCCCTAATCCCTATCTGAAAACATCCTAAGTAGTTTGCGGAGCCTTAAGGCTGGACTGAAGTGAACCGTCTCATTCTGTGTCTGTTCTCAGAAGCAGCTCCCCGTTGCCAGAGATTTCACGTCCCCACTGGGCACAGATCTTTGATTGATTTGCCGTCAACGTCCTTGAGTCTCATTCCCGCTATTTAATCCTATCCACAGAGGTGACCCCCCATGACTTTCCCAACGATGTTGTGACACTAAGGTAAAGGTGAAGGACCCCTGGACAGTTAAGTCCAATTTGACTATGGGGTGCAGCGCTCATCTCACTTTTCAGGCTGAGGGAGTTGGCATTTGTCCACAGACAGCTTTCCAGGTCATGGGGCCAACAGGACTAAACCAATTCTGGCACACGGGACACTGTGACAAGTGCCAGAGTGCACGGAAACACCATTTACCTTCCCACCGACAGAGAATGTCGGACTTTTTTCTCGATGCTACCACAACTGCAAGAGTACTTTACACACAAAAATGGCGAAACCAGGAGATGATACCCACTAAAGAAGAAATGGAATCAAAACTGATGGAATGTGCCAAATTGGCAAAACTAACTATGAAAATAAGAGATCGAGAAGTGGCAGACTTCAAGAGGAGTGGAAACCTATTGTTGACTATTTAAAGAACTATTGTAAACATGTTCAAACAGAGGTAGGATTTGAATGAAGAACAGCAGTTGAATATTTGTTGGAGTACAGTGTGGAAAATATAAGGTATAGAGTTTTTATAAAGGTAAAGGGATCCCTGACCGTTAGGTCCAGTCGCGGACGACTCTGGGGTAAATCTCACTTTACTGGCCGAGGGAGCCGGCATGCAACTTCCAGGTCATGTGGCCAGCATGACTAAGCTGCTTTTGGTGAACCAGAGCAGCGCATGGAAACGCCGTTTACCTTCCTGCTGCAGTGGTACCTGTTTATCTACTTGCACAGGTGTGCTTTCGAACTGCTAGGTTGTCAGGAACTGGGACAGAGCAACAGGAGCTCACTCTGTCACACTGATTCGAATTGCTGGCTTTCCGATCAGGAAGCCCAAGAGGCTCAGTGGTTTAGACCACAGTGCTACCAACATCCCCACATTGTGACACTATGCCCGATGATATGGGATGGTCTTACAGATGCTTATATGTAGGTAACTACCGGTGTCAGCCCAAGAAATTTTGCTGCCTGAGGCAAGGTATAGTGATTATATATAGTGACCTTCGGAGATCAGGGTTCAAATCCCCACTTGGCCATGAGGTTCTCTGGGTGACTTAGGGCCAGTCATCACCTCTCAGCCTAACAACCTCACAAGGTTGTTGTGGGGATTAGCTGATGTGGGGCACAACCATGTATGCCACCTTGAGCTCCTTGGAGAAACAGGTGGGATAAAAATGTAGTTAATAAGGAAATGCATACATTAACAGGGCCATGGAATCATCACCTGCACCAGAAAAAAGCCCCTTTTGGTGGACTGATGGTTGTTGTCAGATTCCACAACAAGCCCTAAACAGCCTCAGCCCCATATACCTGAAGGAGCATCTCCACCCCCATCGTTCTGCCCGGACACTGAGGTCCAGTTCCGAGGGCCTTCTGGCGGTTCCCTCCCTGAGAGAAGCTAAGTTACAGGGAACCAGGCAGAGGGCCTTCTCGGTAGTGGCACCCGCCCTGTGGAACACCCTCCCATCAGATGTCAAGGAAATAAGCAGCTGTCTGACTTTTAGAAGACATCTGAAGGCAGCCCTGTTTAGGGAAGTTTTTAATGTCTGATGCTTTAATGTGTTTTTAATCGCCTGTTGGAAGCCACCCAGAGTGGCTGGGGAAACCCAGCCAGATGGGCAGGGTATATGTAATAAATTGTTGTTGCTGCTGCTGTTGTTGTTGTTTGAACCCTGGATTTCCTGGCACCGGACTTTTCACTGCTAACCCACACAGATGTCTGGAGATTCAGTCATTCACTCATAAGGTAAAGGGACCCCTGACCATTAGGTCCAGTTGTGACCGTATCTGGGGTTGCAGCACTCATGTTGCTTTATTGGCCGAGGGAGCCGGCGTACAGCTTCCAGGTCATGTGGCCAGCATGACTAAGCCGCTTCTGGCGAACCAGAGCAATGCACGGAAATGCCGTTTACCTTCCCGCTGGAGCGGTACCTATTTATCTACTTGCACTTTGACGGGCTTTCAAACTGTTGGGGGGCAGGAGCAGGGACCAAGCAATGGGAGCTCACCCCGTCGCTGGGATTCAAACCACCGACCTTCTGATCGGCAAGTCCTAGTCTCTGTGGTTTAACCCACAGCGCCACCCGCGTCCCTCATTCACTCATACATTACTCTTAAAAGCTGCACTGCTTTTGAGTGAAAGTGGAGGCGGAATGCCTAGACAATAATAAAAAAATGGGAAGGGTTGCTAGAGAGACAGGTAAAAACTCACTTCGTGGAGCACAAAAGGCCCACAGTTGACCATGTTGCGGCCGAGAAGACGGTGTTTTGTCTCCATGTTGCAGCTGGAAATCTGAGGGGTAAGCGGAAGGGAAGCGGACATTTTGGAAAGGATTCTATCCCAGCCACCCAGCCAGGTCAGGCTGAAACACAAAGAGCTACTTCCCGTGCAGCTTTTATCATCTAGCTGGCGTGGCTGTAAACCGTTCTCCTTTTGCTCATAAAAAGTCTTTTACGGCTCACAGCTGGAGAATGACCCTCTCAGCAGTTCGGTGACGGCCACGGCTCGAAAGGAAGGTCCACCTCTAGCTGCGCTAAAATGACACTTGCGCCTCACCTCGGTTTCTCCGTGTGCCATCTTGAGACCCTGAGGTGAATACCCTTCGGTCGCTAATGGACACGTTTTATGGGTGTGATTTATTCCCTGCCACCGGCAAATGGCTACTTCGCCGACTCTCTTAAAGACCTGGATTAGAGGTGGGCTTGGAACCAGACGCTTTGATCAGGGGAACCCTTATCCGGGGCCACCTCTGAGGAGTTTGAACCCGCGCCATGTGAGGCTTTTACCTCAGCAATGGGCTTAGCCATTAGTCACCACCCACCCCTTCAAAGCCTTCTCCGGCTCTGAACTTTGAAAGTTTGGTTTGGCAAATGGGACGGCCGAGACTGCCAGATCTGACTGAAAAGCAAAGGGAAAGGAAACGCTCCAGAATGTTCTGGAAGCGCTTGTAAGGATGGGAAGGGGGCTTTGATGCCCACAAAGCTGCTGACGGGATGTAGCCTGGGCCTATCCTTTCGTGCTTTTTTTTTTTTTAACTGTTTTAACTGTTTAGCTGTTTCTAATTTATACGTAAACCTCCTTGAGTCCCTGTCAGGAGCGGAGCCGGGATAACAACAAGAAGAAGCAGTATTTTTAATACCGCTTTTCAATACTAATTTTACAGAGCTGTTTACAGCATAAGAACATTATAATGTGACTATTTAAGCCAATAAAACAAAACGACAGGAGGGGCTGATTTAAAATTAGGTTCAGTCAGGTAGAAGTTTATCAGAAAGCTGCCTCGAAAGCTAGACAAATCGGGTCCTCCCTTAAAGAGGGCATGTGTTGCGGTGAGACCTGGCAACCTAACCCTGTGTTGTGGGTGGGTACGTTTGGTCAGCCACAACACCCGATTGGTAGGTCCCTTGATGCAGGGTTCAATCAGGCCAATGGGACGCAGTCCAAACGGTTCGAGGGACCTATTTATGCCCATGCACGGGACCCAGAGCTTCCTCTTTCGGCGCATGCATCCGGAACACCCACCCACCTCTCCCTACTTTTAGGGCTTTGCACTTGACCTTGCTATGCCGTCATGTGTCGTCTGTCGTTGGGATAGGGGCACGCCAGGAATTTCCCCCACTTGGCTGATTGGTTGTTGCCATTTGGGTTTCGCCTGCCTCGTAGCAAATCGTCACAACTTGTAAGGTTGCGGATAGGCTCTGGTTCAGGTGATAGGGATGGGAGAACGCTCTCGCCATCCCTATGTGAAGGCTATTCCATTAAAGACAGAATGGTTTGGTCAACCCCTGTGAGGGGGTTGTGCCCGTGCCTGAGTCCAGGGGGACATTTGGGTGGCAGAGTGAGCCTGTTCCCAGCTTTCCGCTTATCCAGGTGTTCACCCTTGGCTGACCTATGCTGGTGCCCTGGGTCAGCACTACCTGCATGGCAGAGAGCTAGTCGAACCAGAGCCTATGCAACCAGTCACTTGCTGTAATCAATAAAGTTGTGGCCTGAATTCTGCCAGAAACCAAAATTGAGTCTTGTCTGAATTTATTTAAGAGGGAGGTTTAAAGGTCTAAACACGCAAAACTTCTCAATTTTTATCAGCTTTTGGTATGGGGTGAGGAGTAAACCTCGGGGGGGGGGGAGGTTCCACATTTGGGGCGTGAGTGCTGGGAAGTGGGTCAAGGTCACCAGTGGGGCACTCGTGGGCTCGCATGCATCTGTAGAGACCTGGGTTGATGTCAACAGTGTCCCATCTGAGGCGAGACTTTATTTCACCTGGGTCAAAGACTCAGTTTGGCACACACCCCCAACGCACATTTGCATACACACACAGAGAGACTGGGAACTTCAATGGCGCCCCTCTGAAGGCTTGCCCGGGGGGGGGGGTGGCTAGCCTCCACATAGCTATGGACCTGCCCTCTCCACCTTCCAAAATTGGCGTAAGAACATAAGAGGAGCCTGCTGAATCAGGCCAGTGGCCCATCTAATCCAGAATCCTGTTCTCACAGTGGCCAACCAGATGCCCCGATAGGAAATCCACAGGCAGAACTTGAACCCAAGATCCCTCTCCCCTTCTGTGTTTAACCAGACCCTCCAAGTGTCCCTATTTTCCAGGGACGTCCCTGATTTAGAGAAGCCGTACCGGTTTCTGATTTGATCCCCTAATGTCCCACTTTTCCTTAAGATGTCCCTATTTTCATTGGAAAAATGTTGGAGGGTGTGGACTTAACCGCCCCCGAGCCATCTGTGTGGGATATGAAACACAAGAGCAGTCAAGTACAACATTCCTAGAGTGAACATGTTTACACATGGGGAGGAATGTTTGTCCAGCCAGCAGGTAAACTTCCTGTTTCCTTCTGGGCTGGGACAGACTTCCTCTGCATGTGACTAGAGGTGGGCGTGGCCTCACTTGTGCAGGTAACGACAAAAGCACAGGGCAGGGCAGCCATCTCTCTCCCTTTTGACTACATGCATCAAAGAAGCAACATCTGCTTAGCCAAAGATGCTCTCTTGGCAAGAGAGGACAAAGGGACTGTCTTCTTATGAGATAGTTTCCAAGTGCTTTAATAAATATCTTTTAAAAAAAGAGAGAGAGAGAGATAGTTTCCAAGTGTATGTTACTTTTCTAAGCTAAGTCTGCCTTCTGGGATCCGGTTGTGAACAGAATGTGAGTGAGTAAACTCTTTTTATACTTTTATAGAAGACTGTGTCGTGTCTTATCTTTTATGAGGGAATAAGGGGAAAATACCAGAACAGTTATTATAGAGGCTTTGGCGAGCCTAAGCAAATGCATCCGCTGCAAGTTTAAAAAGGGGAATGTTACTCTGCTAAATTGTGGAACTTGTTAACACAAGTTGGAAAGGCTATAATCACTATATACTCTCCTGCATCCCTGAACATTCCCACAATCTGAAGGCAATCCTGTATAGGGAAGGTTTTCTTTTAATGTTTTATTATTGTTTTATATATGTTGGGAGTGGCTGGGGCAACCCAGTAAGGTGGGGGGGGGGTTATAAACAGTAAAATATCATTATGGAATGGGACGTCCCTATTTTCATCAGAGAAATGTTGGAGGGTATGGGTTTCCAGCTATTCTGACCCCAAAAAATCAGCTCAGGTGGGTGGAAGAAAGGGCAGATCATTCAATCAGGTAGGCAGAAATGTTCTAGCTCTGTGTTGAATTCCTCCCTAAATTGGAATTCGTTAAGAGTCGTCAACAGGCTCTTCACAGCTATCTGCCAATCACCCATTCCCACCACCCTTCTGAGTAATACCCCTCCCCACCTTCTCACTATATAGAAGGATCTGGCAACTTCTGTTTCAGTGTATCTGAAGAAGTGTGCATGCACACGAAAGCTCATACCAAGAACTAACTTAGTTGGTCTTTAAGGTGCTACTGGAAGGAATTTTTTTTGTTCTCCCTAAATTGTGTGTTTGTGTGCCACATGGACAAATGTACGATAGACCGTGTCCTGGTCTGGAGAAAGAAAAAAACGTTTGTGCAGAACAGCATATTACAAATGGTGGCATTTAACACTCTCAAGCATTCTGTGAAAGGAGCTTATAAACTGGCAACTGTTTTCATCAGCGAAATGCGTTAAAAGAGCACTCGGTTATACGGTAACTTTTGTTTGTTAAAACTTTAATAGGACGGTGAATTCCGGTAGAGTAAGGGAGGATTTGTGAGACGACGGGAAGAGAGACATCTCAAAATGTGGAATCAAAGAGAGGAATTTGGTTAACACTTAGGCAGGGCTGTTTCTCATAGAGCCAGTCACACTCTAAAGAGCTGACCGTGACGGATAAATATAGTTTCTGATCGTCTTTCATGTTTGAACCTCTTGCTTTAAAGCTTCGTAATTGGAAACATCTCTGTGGGTGAATCAGGAGAGAGGCAGAAAAATTACGAGCGTTCTGGCTGGCGTTTCTTAGAGCACAACACGACGTTTGGTGGAACTCAACACAGAAACGGCTGATCTGCCTTGGCACTGCAGCTTGGATATTGTTTTCAACTTCTCCCGCCTCTGAAGTACCCGGTTCTGTTTTCAAGTTGAGCTGACACATGAGGGAACCCTCCACTGTTATATTCCTGGTTTTGTGCATCATCGCGGCTAGCAGTCTCAGTGGCTGTGTCTTGCCTCCCAGTGTCTGAGGTGTATGTCTTTGAACATCAGTTGGTGGGAATTGAAAGTGGGGAGAAAGCCATTGCACTCAAATCTATGCTTCCAGGTGCCATAAGAAAGCTGCAGAGATAGTGCAGGATAGTGCGCACCCCGGAAATGATCTCTTTCAGCTTCTGCCTTCTGGAAGAAGGTACAGGGTTATAAAGACTAGGACAAGCCACCTGAGAAACAGTTTCTTTCCAAATGTGATTTTGGTTTTAAATGCAGTATAAGGTAGTCTCTAGGGACGCGGGTGGTGCTGTGGGTTAAACCTAGAGCCTAGGGCTTGCCGATCAGAAGGTCAGCGGTTCGAATCCCCACGACGGGGTGAGCTCCCGTCACTCAGTCCCTGCTCCTGCCCACCTAGCAGTTCAAAAGCACGCCAAAATGCAAGTAGATAAATAGGTACCGCTCCGGCGGGAAGGTAAATGGCATTTCCGTGCGCTGCTCTGGTTCACCAGAAGCGGCTTAGTCATGCTGGCCACATGACCCGGAAGCTGTACGCCAGCTCCCTCGGCCAATAAAGCGAGATGAGCGCCGCAACCCCAGAGTTGTCTGTGACTGGACCTAATGGTCAGGGGTCCCTTTACCTTTAAGGTAGTCTCTATGGGAGTATGTTGTATTTAAAAATGGGGTATCAGAGTT